CTTCTGGTGGAGGCACACCTCGGCTGCACGCACGACGAGTGACCCTGGGCGAGACTCTTGCCCAAGTGTTTACACCTTTCTTGCACATCAGCAAACAAGAACAGAGCAAGTGCAACCAAAAATAAAAAAAATGAAAGTACTGGGCAACATGGCTCCTCTCCAGTGCTCGCCTTCCACAGGGCAAGAGAGAGCTCTGGTGCGCGGCCAAACCTGGGCGCGCAGTCTGCTGCTATAGAGGCCTCTTCGATGGGGTCGGAGCAGATGGGGTCGGAAGATCGCGCCGCATCGCCGACACATCGGCGATGCATCGGCGATGCACTGGCGAGGCATCGTCGACGCCGGCAACGCATCGACGACGTCGACGCGAAGCAAATCGGGCTGCACATCGAGCCGCATCGGCGATGCATCGACGATGCGGCGCGATCCTTCGACCCCATCTACTCCAACCCCATCCAGGAGGCCTAGATGCTACCGCTTCGCGTTCGGCGATCAGGGGACCCCACTGGGCCCGCATCAGAGGTCACTCCGGCGGAAGGTCGCTCTTACGTCTGGTCGAACACCGCAGACTTTGGTTGGTGTCAGCCTCTCCGGGGAAACCGAGAAGGTACCGATACCGCTGATCCCCGGGCCTATCCCGGGGCGCGTGCTGGCCAGGACTTTCGAGGCGAATCCAGCGGTGGCGACGAGGGCATCCCAGGAGGCCCTGAAAGGGGCAGAACGAGGGAACGGTAGCGAGAATCACGCTAACTTCTAGGCCTCCGACGAAAGGGGCCGGCAGAGCGAGCCTCGAGAGCCCTCTGTCTTTCGGGCGCGGCCACACCGACCCCTGGCAAACCATCCCCTTCCGTGACGTCCCCCTCGCCCTTCGAGCTCCCCTCCAGCCGCATACATAAGTCTTGGGGCGAGGCGAGGGGGACGTCATGGAAGGGGATGGTTTGCTAGGGGTCGGTTGCAGTCGGTCCGAGGCCAGAATAATATCCCTCAAGAACATGAGACCCTCCGTCGGCCAAAATAAACAGAACATCTCAGGGTGACCTCTCCAGGACACACAAGAACATGCAACAAACACGAAGAATACCAGTAGAGGCCTCCTAGTTGGGGTCCGAGTAGATGGGGTCAGAGGATCGGGCCGCATAGCCAATGCATCGCCGATGTATCTGCGATGCATCGGCGATGCCTCTGCGACGTCGGCAATGAATCGGCGACGTCGACGTGGAGCAAATCGGGCTCCACATCGAGCCGCATCGGTGATGCATCGGCGATGCGGCGCGATCCTCCGACCCCATCTGCTCCGACCCTACCTGAAAAGCCTAGAACGATGCACAAGAGCATCCGACAAACGCGAAGAACATCAAAGTACCCTCCCCAGACCGACCTCGATCTTACACCTCGCTCAGGCCGTATTGCCGTCCCAACTGGTCCTCGGGAAATAACTGTAGCATCTGGAGGCCGTTCGGGGCGATCCGGGCACCCCCGGAACGCTCTCAACGAGGTGCAGCTGCTGGAGAGCACCCCGAGGCTGGAATCCCGTCGAGACCCGGCGAACCCTTCCGAAAACCTTGAACCCCGACCCCACCCGAATGTAACCCCCCTTCCCAGACCGACCTCGATCGTGTACCTCGGTCCGATTTTAGGCCGCCCCAGCGATGCATCGTCGACGTCGGCGACGCATCGGCGACGTCGACGTGGAGCAGATCGGGCTCCACATCGAGCCGCATCGGCGATGCATCGGCGATGCGGCGCGATCCTCCGACCCCATCCGCTCCGACCCCATCTGGGAGGCCTAGACTGATAAAGCCCAGGGTTCGCTAGGGACTGGTTTCCTTCCAAAACGACGGAAACCCTTCAACAACCCTCCCGAAACCCTCCGAAAAGCCTCCAGGAACCCTTCCTGGAAGGTTTTCGGAGGGTTTCGGGTGAGTTTCGGCTGCCTTGAAAGAAAACCAGCCCGTAGCAAACCCTGGACTTTCTAAGCCTAGACTCAGGGCACCCTCCCCGAACCGACCTCGATCTTGTACCTCGATCCGACGGCAGGCCGCCCCCGAGTATTCCCTCGCCGCCTCGAAGAGCCGCGCGGCTGCGGCCCAAAGCCTGCCCAGCTGGCGGCGGCGCAGCCCGGGAGAGCCCGGGCGAGCCCGGGGAGCCCCAGATGGCCGAGGCGGGGCCTGGGCCGAAGCGGCAACGCCTCCTCCTCCTCCCTCCTCTTCCTCCTCCTCCTCCTCTTCATTATTATTATTGTTTTGCGATTAATAGTATGAATATTAGTAGTATGATTAGTATTATTAGTGTTATTAGTATTATTTCTTCCTCTTCTTAGTATTATTATGATTAGTCGTCCTCTTCATCTTCCTCCTCCTGCTTCTCCTCCTCCTCCTCCACCTCCTCCTCCTCGTCCTCCTCCTCCTCCTTCTCCTCCGCCTCCCCTCCCTCCCTCCCCCTCCCTCCCTCCCTCCCCCTCCTCCTCCTCCTCCTCCTCCTCCTCCTCCTCCTCTCCTCATCA